TCTCAAAAAGAACACAAGTTAAAGCCAATATACAAGATCTCTCTATTCTGATGTTCTCACAGACCTGGGCCCTACATCTGGAAGGATGAGCAGGCTTCATAATGCTGCCCTCCTCACTCAGAAGAACCTTCCAGAGGAAATGAGAAAGAAGTTTTCTTTCACCTTGCCTGGAGAAAAGTAACCATCTGTTTTATACTGTGACACTTCAGGTAACATCCTGACTATTCTCAGTCATGCCACAAATATATTTTAGAGCTAATGTTAATCTCATTACCCAGAACACCAGAGGCTACAGGTAACAGAAAGACACTGATGCTTCAAGCTTGAATTTTTATGTACATGCATGTTATGTATGCATAGAATATTTTTGGAAGGATATACAAAAATCTGATGATAGTAGTTGCCAACTGAGAAGGGACTTGGGATGAATAAGGGCAGGAAAGGGAGGGAAATGTACTTGTCACTACAAACTCCTTCATACCAATTTTGTTTTATAAACATATATTACCTACTAAAGGTCAAGTAAATAAATTGCATGGCTTCTCAGCTCATCCCTTTCATTTTCTTTTTTTACTTATTTTTATTAGTACATGTTTGCAGTACATAATGCTTACATTCATTGTGGGGAGTTGATCCACGCACATAACACGTCTTAACTCTTTTTTTTTTAATGCCCTTCCCTAATCTCCTCTTCACTCCTCCCCTCCCCTCCACCTCTTGGTCCCCTTCCCTCTTGCAAAAGTTCTATCATCCCTTCAATTCTCAATCTCCCTCCTCTAAGGAGTCCTTTCCTCCATTCCTACCACCACTCAAGGTCCCCATTCTCCAGGCTTGAAACATGCGAACTACTGATGAACTAAACAGCAGCCAGAGACAGGACTAAACTCAGTAAGGGAACCAGAGTGCAACCAGGAAGTTTTTCAAGGTCACATCCCTTATTGAGCCAACCTGAGATGCCAAGCAAGTCCCTACCTACTTAGAAGCCAACTTAAAACAGCAAATATTTTCCATTCTCATCTTCCTTTGCAATCACACAGGTCAAACGTACTAACATCAGAATCACTAACCAATTTTTTTCCCAAGCAAATGTATCATGCAGGAATCTACACAGAGGAGATCTAAAGTCAAACAGCATTCCACCTCCAAAGGAGGGCCTTTGTCCCTGGGCCTTGTGCTGTAACAGACACTTGATTTTCAGTCTCAAATCAGAATACCGAATCTTCCCTGGCCTCTAAAATGCAAGAATTATGAAAAGAGAGCTTGTTGGAAGCAAAAATAAACCTGTAAATCCTGTTAGGCTTTGTGTTTCATTCCAAATGATTTTTCTCTCAAAACGATACCATTAGTAGAACCAATATGATAGTCCTCAGAGGGATGATTCTGTAAAATAAATCCTACCTCTTCTTTCAAAATAACTCCCAGATAGCATAGGAAAACCATGGCTCCACCACCCAAGGCCAGGCCATCTGCATCCTCACCTCTGAGCGAGCCAACTCATTTTACCATCCATTTGTGTGCTCACCATGGTCCTCCTTATAAAAACACCTTTTATATAACTTGAATGTGCTCCCTGCCCTTCAGGCTTCTTTTCTTCTCAGGTGTGCAGTTGGTCCACAAATATCCATTAAGGGCCTCCCAGGGCCAGAGAAAAGCTGGATTCATGCCCTCCAGGAGTACATAGGGCAGTGAAGCAAGTATAACACGGGGCAGTCAGGGCTGGAATCGAGCTCAAAGAACTCTTTGCATTGGACCCTGAGAATACTAAAAGGTACTACGTGACACTGAAGAATGGAACAGGGCTTCTCAGGCCAAGGCACGAGTGGGGAATGAGAAGGACAAAGCAAGTATAATGGCACAGAGGCAGGGAACCAACATGAAATCAGGAAGAAATCACAGTAGCAGGAACTATGGAGTCCCTCTTCTTGAACTTGGCCTTTTCAAGGAAAGGCTTACCTAACATAGATTTTCATTATTACAAACATTACCTCTCAGATATGATGCCAGAAGCCAGTCTCCCATTGCTAGAGATTTTCCTAGTTGACTCCTCAAGTTAGCAGGGCAGAGGGAAAAGAATTGCTATGGACTCCAATGAAAGCTCTTTCTCAGATACAAATAGGCCTTCCAAAAGCCTTAATTTCCCTTCCTTTCCTTTCCCTATCCCTGAAACTGGTGGCCTCCCACTCACCTCTCACCTCTCAGGCTGCCTAAAGGCAGCTTCTGCTTCCAGCCTTGATCTGTGCAGCTAGAGCAGAAGTCACAAAGCTGCAGACTGTCTGTGCCCCTTACACTCCATCCCTGGAGCCTCTCCTGTCACACAGCCCACTAATGCACCACTCTGCATCCAAGTTCAGCGTTCCCATGCGTACATGTACATGCCTATATTCACATCTGCTTCATCGCCTCCTTAACTTGTAAGTTTCCTGAAAGCAGGGATAAAAATCTTATTCCCCACCTCCTCTCCACCCTCAGAGCTCCATTCAGAAAATACTACAATTATTCATGTTTAAATGTGGAAGGACACCTGGATATGATGGCTCATGCCTATAATCTCAGCTACTTAGAAGACCAAGGCAGGAGGATGACATGTTCCAGGCTAGCCTGGGCAACTTAGTAAGACCCTATCTCAAAAAAAGATTTTAAAAGGGGGTCAAGGGGCTGTTGATATAGCTCACTGCTCATTAAATTCAATCCCCAGTATGAGGGGGCAGGATTTGAATGGGGATTATTAAGTGGAACTTGGCATAGGATTAGAGGTAGAATGACTGTATCCTGACACTTTTGAGAATGAAGGGAGCACTAGCATAACTGGGTCTGTCCCACGAGAAACAGGCAAATGGTCACCTTTGCTAGAAAGGTCATTCCAGAGAGACATGAGTTACACTGGAGCTCCAAGGAGACCCAGACCCCTGCAGTCACTGATTCCTGTGATTGAAGGGTCTGCACCAGATAGAACTTGTGGCAGAACACTTATACCAGAAAGTTCTTCCTTCTATCTGACTCCAATCCTTAAAGATTTAGATTAATGCACCATCAACCTCCAGGCAACAGAGAACAAGGACATAATGTAACAAGGAAAGCAGCCACAAAGAAGGAGAAACACTGCCTTCGGTCTTCCCCATTCGCTAGGAATGTCTCATTATGAGTTCTGTGGCTAGTTCTGCATCCTTCAGCTGAACCAAACTCAGTCTGCCTGGCCCAGAAACATAAAAGCTGAAGGATTTGGAATTGCTCCCAATGAGAACAGAGCTCATATCTAACTTGCCCCAAGTCCCCAAGAGATTTTCACAAGCCAAACCCAAGGAAGAAATGGCACCTGTGTGCATATTTTTGAGACCAGAAAGCTCCTCTCCCAACCAAAACTATGGCTTCAGGGAACCTAAGCTCTGGGAAGGACTGTCTGCCTCTCTCCACTCCTGGCCAAAGAGCAAGGCAGAGCCGGGCTGGCTGGAAAGACTCAGTGAACAAGGGAGCATTTATCCCCCATCCCAATCGGCTCCAAACTGGTATCCCTGTGGTAAGCAAGGACCTTGCTGACTTCCTTTCAGCAATACAGAAGAAAAGTTTCAGATGGGGTGGGGCAGGGGGTTGGAGATGGGTCTAATAGCTGGTGAATGCCAGCAGCCTGAGCTCCCCAGCAGCTGCAGCCCTCTGGCACAGGGGTGGTTGTGGATGAAAGTTAAATACTTCCACCCATTCACCCCTGCACCGTCCCCCCTTTAGAGCTATGTATATATATGTTATGCTAGAAAGGAGGTATTTAAGAAGCACTGCATAAAAGACAGTGTGACTCCTATTACCCAGAGGTCAGTCAGACAATGCAGACAAAAGCTAAAGACCTTCTCATTATGACCTTGGGCTAGTCACTACACCTGCCCCAGTTTCAATTCCTTCAGCAAGAAAATGACACAACAGGGTGACATGGTATATAAGGTCTTTCCTGGCTCCAAGGACTGAACACTTAACTCGACATATTTCTTGAAGGGAAGAACTGGCTACGGCAAAATCGATGAAGTAAGGCAGAACGCAGGCTAATCATTTAATCTCTACTTTAAAAGGGAACATTTTGACTCTGGGAACGATGCGTGTTTACCACCTCCACTGGCCCCACCTTTTCTCCCCCTGCGACCTTCTAGTTCTGCTGATGTCAATCTTAACCGCAGGACTTGGAGGCTCATGAGGCAGTAACATGGGCAAATTAATTTTGCCGATACCGATATTAACCCACAAACTCAGTTTGCAATTCCTCTCAGTAAGTCTAGCCATAAAAGTAAAATTCATGTTACTTATGATCTAATGAACCCATTGCCTGGATAGAAATAAATCACTTCCTGAATACTAATTTCACCAAATTTCTTGCAGTCTTTTTAAATACCCAAGTACCATGAAGGAGATTCTTGTCCCAAATAAAGTCATGGCGGGGGGGGGGGGTAGGTTGAACCTCACACCCCCACAAAAATAAAAAACAAAAAATTTAGCCTTTACATTTTACACACACACACACACACACACTTCTTTTACTACATATAGGTGGTTGCCAGTCTTCCGGGTTTGCCCACCTTTATGGGGTTCAGCACGGTGTGCGGAACCCCCTCGCCTGCTGTTCTGTGTAAGTGCACTGCAACGCAGGGCGCTCGCCTCCGCTGCCAACTGATGATACACTAAAGAAAGCCCTTGTTTTATCCAGAGATAAAAATGAGTCTAGCCCCTCTTATACCTGCCGAAACTACCCCGGTCTGCACACACCCTGGGGAAAAATATGCACAGAACCTCGAGAGTTACCTGGAATAGGTTCACTAAGACCGACAGGAAGAAGGAAAGATCAAGGCGATTCAAGTGCTGCCGGTTGTACTCGCGTGAGGGGGGAAAAAAACAAATGCAAGCCGGGAAGTCCCCGGTGGTGCCCGCACCTGGGAGGCGACTGCAAAGGAGCGATGCGGGGGTGAGGAAGTGCTAGGAGAGGAAAGAGCTGGAAGGAGGCGGCTCGCAGCAGCCCTGCTCACCTGTCCGTACACCTTGATGGGCTGGGGCTGCAGGGCAGCGCTCCGTCGCGTCCGGAGCGGCTTCTGGTCCGCCGGGCTCGCCCCCCTGGCATCCCCGTGCGCCCACAGCCGCAGCTCGCGCGGGTCGCCCTGCACCACGAGGAAGCCCCGGTCCTGGGGCAAAGGCGCGCGGCCGCCGTGCAGTCGCCGAGTCCAGTCCTCGCAGAGAGCCCCGGGCGGCAGCAGCGCGACCAGGGTGAATAGGAAAGGGAGTCGCGACTCCCTCCTGCTGCTCCGTGTCGCCATGTTCGGGCGAACGCTACTGCAGGTGGCGCCGCCGCCAGGAGAGAATGTGCAGCGCGAGACCGGGAGAGCGCGGGGCCGGGGCCGCGCGCGCCGCTCCCGGGGCTCCAGGCCGCCCTCGCCGCTCCGGGCCGTCTCCGCCGCCGGTCCCGCTCGGCTGGGCGCCGCGCCGTCACGTGTGCGCTCGCAGCGCGGCTCCTCCGCGCACTTTCTCCGCTCGCCGGCCTCGGTGGCTACTCCGGCCCCTCCCCCGCAGATATAGGGAAGTCGAGGCAGCGAGCGTCCGCGAGCGTGCGTCCGGTTCCCGGGCACGCACACCGCATCCTTTCTGCAGAATTAGAGTTATGTGTGGCTCGCTCTTTTTTCCCTGGAGTTAGTTGCCTCCTCCACCGGCTGGTGCCCAGGTCGTCCTTCCTGACTGCTCAGCCCCCAGCCCAGACTGACCACCATCGCCACCAGCCCTGGCTTCACACCCACCTGTATAGGAGAGCTGAAAGCCAAAGGACCTGCTCCAGAAACACCGTCTGTCCCCTTTGTGAAACTCAGTTTCAATTACTTTTGGTACAGAAACATATTCGATGTGACCAGAGCCAAAAACCACCCTTGTTCAAGCTAAAATGCCTCCGTCCTCAAGCATACATCCTGCACAGAGGCAGTCAAAACTAGGGCACAGCCCACGAGGAACTTGACACACCTGGACAATTGCAGTTATAGAATGCGCCCTTGCATGCATGAATACCTAAGCATGGCCCCAGGGCCCCAGCACTCTGGCTTGCTTGTGATCCCTCCAAGGTGACCAAGCATTCAGGCACTCCACCTTAGCAGTCAACACGCATATTTACCAGTCCTTCCCTTCAGCTTGCAGCTTACACTGCTGGCACTTGCCAAGGGTGTAATACAAAAGGTTGTCACTGGTAGCAGGAGGGGCAGACACCCAAAGAGGAAGCAGGACAGCTTTAAAATCATCTCCAAGAGCCAGACTCTCTGAACTTTCTCAGCCACAAGGAGGTAAAACTTCTGTGGTTGGAACTGCTTAGGTATACACGAAGAGCATCTTTTTCTGTGGGGTTAGGGGAGCAGGTCTGTGAGAACTGAAACGGCAGCCTCTCCTATTTCATTGTATGTTTCTCCGTACCTGCACTCAGATTCTGGTTATTGCTGAGTGAAGACAGAGTAAGGCTGAAAGAGAAGCTACTTCCATAGATGCATAAAGAGAGGGAAGCTGCTCCATGCCCCCTGTGCTTCTTCACCTCCTCCTTAACAAACCACAATAGGTTGACTCTGTCCACTGTCCAACGGTCCTCTTTCCAGTTAGCTTAGCAGAACCCCCTCCCCTTACCCAACAGCACTTTTCCCAACTGCTGCAAGACAGTACTGTGGTTTGAATTTGATTAGCATTGTGGCAGTGCAGTGAGGTGGAACGTTTAAGAGGTTAGTAGGTCATTAAGAAAGATGAATGCCTTTCTCACCTGAGTGGGTTTGTTCACCCAAGAGCAAGCCACTCCTTGTGTTTTCTCTTCCAAGGCACCTGCTTGCCCTTCAGCTCTCCTCCTACATGAGTTGAAACAGTGTGAGGCCCTCACCAGACGCTGAGCAATGTTGACACCATGTTCTGGGACTTCCCAGCCTTCAGAACCGTGAGCCAAAGCCTAGATTCTTTATAAAGCAACCAGTCTCAGATATTCTGTTATGGCAACAGAAAATGAATTAACAGAGGAAACATCTCCTCACCTTCCTGAAGTCTAGCATCATACCACTCTGCACTACCCCTTGCCAGTCTTGCTGTGTGGTCCTAGATCTACAGTCCCCCCACCTCCTTTCACCTCCCCCGCTTCTTTTCTCTAATCAAATGTCTTTTTGTCCACCTTGACATAATTACAGAACCACGCAGTTTTCCCTGCTAAGCCACTGAACCACTGCTACTTCCTACTGCCCATCTAGACCAGCCCCATGTGGTCAGTATCATCATACCAGCAGTGGACCACCTCCAGGGCCCCCTGGGACCAGCAGCAAAGGCATATCCAGCCCTGTTTAGCCCCTCAGGAAAAATGAAGAGAACTGGCTCAAGTCAGAACACCCTGAAGAAGATTCCACTATTTTTTCAACATATATTTAATGAGAACCAAAAGCAAGTGTCAGAGTCCCCACAGAAAGCAGAAATGTTTCTCTGAAGTGTAGATTGGAAGATAGAGAACAGGTTTGTCCACATGAACTGCTGACTTGAGGATCAGATGGCAATTTGCATGGATGGATTAGTGGGACAAGGCCAGCTACTTGCTCATTTTGATTTTGATTTCCAGCTTTGATGCTGAAAAACTGGCATGAATGCTCAAACACGGTCAATGTGCTTCTTGCAGGCCCTCTCCTCTAATCATTATCTACATTCCAAGCCATTCTCAGGTGGCTAATCAGCGACCCTTGACACTGTGTGCTGTGTGACCACACAGCATAATAGGAAACACTTTGAATTGAGTCAGAATATCCGACTTTGAGGCTATGAGGACTGGGCTAAATGACCTCCACTGAGCTTCAGTTTTCTCATCTTCAAAATAAAGATCTTAATACTACCTAACTCACAGAACAGCTAAGAGTACCAGATGATGACATGTATATAAAATGTGTGTGCAAGCCAGGCATGGTGGCACATATCTGTAATTCTAACACTCTGAGAGGCTGAGACAGGATGATCTCAAGTTCAAGTCAAGCCTGGATAATGCAGTGATTTAACAAGACCCTATTTCAAAATGAAAAACATTTTTAAAAGGTTAGGACTATAGCTCAATGTGAAGGCCCCAGATTAAAGTGCGGGGGAGGTGGGTTGTGCAATATTGTGAAGGCCCTCAGATAAGAGTCTAACATGCATGTTGTATTAGAGACTTGGATTCTAATCCTAGTTCCTGGTTGAGGAGACCTTACAGTCCTGGCCATTCTTTACCCCTGCAGGGCTCCACAGAAGGATGAAACGGGAACAGCTATAGGCTAAGTCCCTTGGAACAGGAGTTGGAGCTGAATTGTGCAATATGAGTGGTGTGTTCCTCCTAGCTTCCAAACGGCCTCTGGCTTGTAAACAAGCCTCCAGTTCACTTCCTCCATCCTTCTGCAGTAACATCCAAATTTGGATGGAGATATAGACAAAGGGAGGCCATACTCCACCCTACTCTGCCTCAGCTTACGTGGCCTTGCTCTAGTGCTACCTAACACCATGATGAAAATCAACATGCATGGTACATTTTTTTCTGATGCTGAGGATAAATTTAGGAGCTTGCAAATGCTAGGCAAATGCTCTGCCACTGAGCCACACCCCCAGTTCCAACATGGATAGTAATCACTTCATGATAGACTCACAGTTATGTGTTAGAACATTCTTAGCCAAGGTCAGACTTTAAGTTGCCCTCCTATGTCCTTCTGTCTCCCTGAGACTGCCCTAAGCTAGAGCTGGAGATGAGACTACAGAAGAACCATACAGGGGTTGTAGTGTCTTCATTTTTACGCAGGTCAAGTCACATTTACAATTGCAGTGAGGACATCTACAAAGAGAAAAAAGGAAACTCCTAAATGCCTAATTTGACTTATTTCTCACCCATTGGTCTTCCCATGTGCTCATCCTCATTCCTAAACCCTGGCTGGCCAATTTCTACTCACCCTTTACTTTTCACAGAAACCTTCCTTAGTACCTAGGCTGATTACCTCCTTGCTCTAAGGTTCTAGTCTTATCTGTCTAGCCTTTGATACTTCCTCTCTGGTCACATTACTTAACTCCATCTTCTTAGGCTAGAAGCAGCTGTGTTGCAATGCACTGTGGGTTCTTTTGCTCAATTTGTATAGAAATAGTGACTAGACAAAGTATATCTCTTTTAGTGTTAACATCCCTGAGCTTTCCATGCCAGTTGCTCTCAGTTCTTTGTTAGTCATCCTCCACCACTATCCTGGCAGCCAGAACCAGCAGTTACTATCACCCTCAGAAACACTCCTAATGGCAGCTCTTGACAATTCTCCATCATTTTCCATCATTTTCTGCTGCTAGCTACCTTCCCTGTAACCAGCTGTGGAGCCTGACTGCTCTTGATGCCAGCAGTTTTTAGCATCACCAGCTCTTAGTGTACTAGCTCAGCCTCTTCTCTTTCAGATAGAAAACAGAAATCACAAATATACAAAAATGCCATCCTAAGGAGGCTTTCTTAGGATTATGCTGCAGCCCAAGGACAAACAGAACATGGACCAGTCTCCTAAGGATATATGAAGGTTGCTTATATAAAAGAAAAAGGCAGGCTTGTGTATGCACAACTTCAGACTTCTGGGCAGGGAGGGTATGGTCCTTAAGGACCCGGTTAAGAATGGCTGCAGAGGGGTGCAGTTATCTGGGGTGGACTGGTACAAAAGCTTGCTGTGGTCAAAGCAAATGTCTCCTGGGACAACTGTGGGGCATTTGGTATAGCCACAGGCTAAGGTGTTTGGACCATCTGCAGAACAGAAAAAAGAAAAAATTATAGTGTCCATTTCCTGTCTCCTCAGGAAATCAAAACCAGTCTCAGTACTGTTCCCAGTACCCAGTACTCAATACATCCCTGGCACATAGTGGGTTCTTAGCAATATTTATAGAATGTATAGGAGCAAAGAGATCTTTCCTTCTACATTCTGAAGTTTCAGTGTTTGAAAGTCTGAAATCAACTGACAGTAGATTGAGAGTAGAGGAGTATACAAACTTATCATGTGCCTTTGTGACCAGGAGGCACATAAAACATGAGCCTCAAAGGTACCCCAGTGGTTGAAGTTTATACAACATCTAAGGTTCAGAGGCTTGGGGTTTCTGGGAGGTTGCCACAGGTTAGGGTAAGGCAAGGGGAGGAAATAAATAGCAAACAAATTATCTTCTTAAGGACATACGGTCTCTTAGTAGCATTTCTCAGAAGAAGAAACGGTATAATCTTTAGCCTTTCCTGAGAATTCATCTCTGTTTGGTGAGACTGTGTACCGTATATGGAGGGGATTCAAGACAACTACACTCCTGGGGGAACTTCCCTGAGTCATATCAGGAACTTCAGAAAAAGGCCCTCCCTGCTCTTCTGGAAAGAAAGTATAAGGGAAGGGTATAGAAAGTCAGAGAGACTTTGGTACTCAGGCTGTTTCTGAGGCTTTTCAATC